TTTTAAAGATTGTTTATGTATGAATTGACAATTAAAGATAGTTTCTGTAGAGTAATCCTTTTTAAAAGGTGTTTTCTAAGAGGAAAAAAAAGCATATAACCAACCATTATAAGAAAAAAATGAATATAAAGTGATAGTTCATTTTCCTAAACGAGTTACAAGGATGAACTGATTGATGAAACCAATTTTGCCCATCATGTCGGACGAATGAATCTCATCACGCTTCTCCCTCTTCGCTTGCAGCTCATTTAGAAAAAAATAGTCTTCAATACATAATCAGTATACCCCTTAATATAATTCACGCACTAAGTAAACCTACATTTACAATTGACATATTACAAATTAATTTGAATGGTTAAAAAAAAGGTGAAATATATCTTCACAAAAACATACAAAAGCATAGTAAATTTACAAATATACACGGACCTACCTAGACTTGGGGTATTCCTACGGGTACAGAAATCATTTATGTTTGTTTTTGCCGCATCATATTCATATCCCCATCCGTCTCCTCTCAACTGAAGGGTTTGGGATATTCGGTAGTTATAGCGCCCACCAACCTCTTTCTTTTCTCCCTCTCTCTCTCTCTCTCTCTCTCCTCCGTTGCCACTCTTTTCCGCTTCGCCATTCCTCACCATTTATTTCTCCTCATCCCCCCCCCTCTCTCTCTCTCCTCTTTATTGATCGCGGGCCCCATTCCCATGTGCCCCCAAAGCCCATTCCATAAAAACCCAACAATACTCTCACATGAACGGTTTATTCGTCTTTCACCAAAAAAAAAAAAAAACCTCGACATGACAAAATCTGGCAGACCTCTCCTCCACCTGCGGAGTTCGACCTTCTGGAATCTTAGCAACAAACCCAGCTGACCAGCTCCACCCCACCAAAATTCCTCACGCGACGCGCTCATCGTCGACGGCAGTCCCTCCTCCCCCTCCACTCCCTCTCCTCGATCCCAAACCCGAGCGCGAGCCCAGAACCCGAACCCAGAAACCCAAACAAACTCCAAGCCCCAGCCGCTTCCAGGAATCCTCCATTTGCTCTTCGAACACCTTACCTCTCCTCCAACCGTTTCGCAAGCAGATGGAAGGATATTTTCAAGAAAAAAAACCCAGTTTCGTCTCGCCGCCGGCGCCGGGGCGGGGAGAAAAGGAGAAGAAAAAAGGAGAAGAAATCAAACGGCGGCGAAGGGGCGGCGGAGCCTCAACATCAAGACATCTGGCCGTTTCTCTCGAGCCCGTCGGCGGGTTCACCGGCCGTGTGGACGCTCGGAAGGCGGCGGCGGCGGCGGCGGCGAATGAAGGAAGTCGAGCTCGGCCGCCCTGGCTCACCCGCAGCAACTCCTCGAGGGGAGAACAACGGCGCCGGCTGGGCCGCAGATGGGCCGCAGAGTCCCGCAGGGCCGGAGTCCACCGTGGGCCGAGCCGAGCACCAGTTTGGCAGTGAAGAGAGCTGCAAAAGGGCCTAAAGAGATTAAAAAGCCCAAAGGGCTGAATGGCGGGCTTAGTGGGCTGGGCCTCAACGTGAACAGCTGTATTGGGTACAGAAACCAAGCGGGGTGCAGGGGGGAGGGAGGGGAGGGAAATAATGGGAGTTTGTTTAGGATTAGAGCGCTGTTCTCTAAGAAAGTGTACTGAAAATGGTGCTATTTACCACTGATGTAGATATATTTTATTTTTTTGGGTTTTGGTTTGATTTTGGGTTAATGATGGATTTACTTGTAATTAACCACTGTCTTAGACTATGAATTTCTTGTTGTGTTAACGTACACTTTTGGTTTGTTGTTGTTGTTGTTGTGGTTAGGTAACTTTCTGGCTTCCATGTGATATTTCAAGGATATTTTCCACGCAAAAGTAGCAAATGATTTCGGGGAAAATATTTGAAACTATAGTTTGTAGTTGTTTGGTATGCTATAACTAGTCTTATGTTATAATTGTAGCTATAAGAATGAGTAGTTTAACGAGCAGTTCCTTCGAAAATGATTTCTGGATGAAGTCCATGGTTGCTTCTGTAAGAAATGATTTATTCTTTAATAGTTGCTTTTGTAGAAATGGTTTATTGTATAAGTTTGGTCTCAAAAGACTCTTATTAGGCTGTTGGATGAAAAGCGAACCGCAAGAGTAAATAATACCATCTGATCTATATTTCCGTTAAATTCTGTTTACGTGTTGTAATTAGGAAAATAAAAATAAAAATAAAAATAGTATTGCAACTTACAGAAATAGCCTGGAGCAAATTCTGCTAATTAGAAACTACAGGCTTAGCACCCAGAAAGATGCGACTATCTAGTTTGCATAGCTATTGGCGATATCTATGTATATATGGTTTACACAAAATATCTGCCTACTTTCTACCTATTAAATTTTCATAAAATATCAATCCTATCTATTTATTTGTTTATTTATTTATTTGTTTATTTTTCTTGATAAGGACGTTGATCGTCTGTATCATAGATTCTTCTGTTTAATCTCTTTGTGAAAACATTAATTTTTGCTTGGGAAAAAAAAACCTGTAAACATAGATTTTTCTGTTAACTTTTTAGAAAGTAAGGTATCTAGTCAGCAGAATCTAACGTCTACGTAGAAATTTGACCAAGGCACGGATTTAGGTGGTATATCAAGTTACGTAATTAGATTGGATAGCTTGGATTAGCGACGTACGCGTTTGCCAACAATTTGATAATAAAACGAGACAAAGCTGTTGAATAAATAAGGGAATATTGCTGACTCTAGTAACTCCCAAATCTTGGGGGAGCGTCATCCGGTGACGAAGTCTGATTACCGTCATATCCACTAGCCTCTATGTTGAATCACACGTATGTATCATTTCCTCAACACATGATTAACTAATACCCATTTCCATTCAATTTTTTTCTTAGTATTAATGAAAAACTAATTATACCCTCGGTAGGGTATTTACAGGCAACAACTTCGAAGTTAATTAAGGTATATTTCACGGCACTATTCCTAATCATCCATGTTTCCATGAGGAACGTAGCTAGGGATGGTAATGTTGCTCTTGGTGGGCTGGCCGGGACCGTTGGATACTTTTTTTTCTACAATGCACTAGGACAATGCTTATTTGATTACCCGAATGGTGCTATAGATGGATATCAACCGTTTGAATCGATGCACAAATTTGTGGGACTACTAATCAAACAGTTGATATTATTTTGTTGCACCATTGATAATGTAGATCATGACTACTAGATACCTTACAAGGACATAGCTAAGAGGAATGACAAAACAATAACAAATTAGTAGATCGATGTATTCAATGAACGAACATGTTCGATCGATCTATTCGACACATGGTGTGCCAAGGGAGTAATATTTGTACCGGAACAAAAAGACTAATTAATGGGAAAAATCCTTGGATCACTGGAGAATAGACATTATTAGGAGAAGTGTATTATCAAGGCTTCTCTCCTTTATTTTAGCTCATCACGTGGGTGACAAGCCGGTGAGGTACACCGCAAAGTTGTTCTACAGTTCGGTACGTACTGTTGTGTTGCATTTAATTAGGTACTGTTGTGTTGCATTTTAAAGGCCACGTTAAAGGAAAATGATAGAGGCACACCCTCAACCACACCTCCTTTCTCATTTGCTACAGTGCACCGGGTCCTACATGGGATTTTAAAATTTTAAAATACCATGTGGGGCCCGGTGCACTGTAGCAAATGAGAGAAGGGGTGTGGTTGGAGGTATGGATGGGGGTGTGCCCCTAGTGTCACCCGAGGTTAAAACCAATGTCAGCCCATTTATATGATCTTTAAGCCTGCTATCACTGTGGCCAGTATAAATGTGGGTCACGAACATCATGCGACTACGTACCCACTGTCATTGGTCAGCATATCATATACATCTGTCAGAATTAGCGTCAATGTTTTAAATTTCTGTTACCTAGTGTTACTACCACAAGAAGTAAACTTTCCAAATATAACAGATGAAAGCTTTATCCAATGCCTTTCATCATTCATTGCTTATGGTCGCAGACATGCATGCAGTTCTTGCATCATTTCAGCTTGTTTTTTCCCCCTGCGTTATAATTGAACATACAAGACACCGGAACCATGTAAAATTATTATATGTTGGTGGTTGTAGTAGTGATACCTGTTACTTTTTCTTGCTATATGAACCTAGCTAAATTTACGAATGATGGATTGAAACCAACCGGTATATATATTCCTTCTGATTCTTTCGATTTCATGCCAAAATGATGTATGACATGAGTTTCGAAACGAAAATGCACTGATAAGAAAGTAATATGAAAATGAGAGGAATATAATTTTTTCAAAAGGAATTAAATATTGTTTCAGCAATGGAAAATAAATAAATAAATAAATAGATAGATAGAGCTTTTAAGCAATACGAGCCAGATTCAAAAGATACTGAAAAGAAAAATTAATCGTAAATTTGCAATGGAAAAGGTTACAAAGGATCTATAAAATAGGTTTTTTAAAAAAACGTAGATATTTGTGGGTCTTGTGAAACTCCTTTTTTTTTGGTCCTATGGAGGATAGGGGTGTTAAACGGGTGGGTTTGGGCATTAAATGGGCGGGTCATAAATGGGCGGGCATATTTTACCCATTTACCCATTTATGGCACATTTAAGATTTTCTAAATGGGCGGGTTTTTGCCCGCCCATTTAATAATCGGGCCGCCCATTTGCCCGTTTAACTATAATAACTATATATATATAATACTTTTGTGGTGTTTCTATAAACTTTTAGGGGTTTTTTATAAACTATGATAGCTATATCGTGATACAGTGAATTAGTCGACACGGTGAGAACAATGTTGAAACGGAGCAGCGTTATGCAAATGAGACCGTGTCAACTAATTCAGCCACAAACATCATTGACATAACTACCTCACACACTTATAACCCTGCAGCATCGAGATATCAATAAAGCCAGTGGAAATCATAGACAAGAAACGTTCTCAAAATGTTCAAACATGTCAAAGCAACCTGTACTGTAACAAGAATATACACAACACTTACATACCAAGTTTTTCGATTATATTAATAACAATATATGTTCTTCTAAGCATTACATAACAAGGGAAATAAACGAAAAGAAAAGGATAGAATTGCAGACCCAAGCATATAAGTTTACGAGTGCTACATTCAATTCCAAATTCAAATAATCGAGGCTGGCATACATTGCCATACAAACAGAAGGCAGGCTTTGAAGAGTAGGCATTGTGGCGCGTTATCCATGATGTCAAGGCACAAATTCCTCTCATACACAATATACCAAACACCTGCAAGTCATAAGAATCTTTATGTTAACACTACAATACAAAATAAACTAGTCGTCCTCATTTTATAATTTTTAAGAAAGAAAGCCCTTTGGAGAATGAGAAAAACCAAAGGGGAGTGAAGAAAATATAAATCCTGGGTTCTTTTTCTAGGGGATATTCCGAAAACAAAGGGACAAAAGACTAATTTCTCTAGAAGTAATGAGAACTTAGCAGCTCTTACCAAGAAGAACTTGGAAAGCTTGGCCCTGTGATTTTTTTACCGGTACATTGCAACATCGTCAGGTGATGTCAAAGCAGCAAGCAAAGCACAGAGTCTATAAAGCCACTGCCGAAAAGTGTGGTGACAAGAAATAATAGTTTTGTGTACAAATGATATAGTGTTAATGTATAGATGATATGATTTTGTATTATGCCTTGGTTCAGCTATGAAGACAGAGAGTTCAGGTTCTCTGATGCCCTGCTCTAAATTTATCAGCCCACTGGCAATTTCTGCAATTCATACACTATTATCAATAGTTTTATTTGTAGAGATATCTTCTATAGTATGTGAATTTAGCTGTTTGTAGATGAGGGATCAATTTAAGTAATGAGAACAAAGGGACAAAATTTCTATGTATTAACAGTTAATCAGCTCTTACCAAGATATTCTTAGTCCACAATGAAATGGGGAAAATATTTTTATGAATTTTTTTTTGAAACATCATAAATTTGGGTATAATTGAAGTACTGAAGATTCATAAATTTGGGTATCAACCAAATATCTTTCATACCTGTGATTCAAGATTTGTCGTGGTAAGTGCCCTTTCTGCATATGTATAACGTTCATATCGTTCAAGAATATTTTCCATACTGCAAAAGAAAGTTAGTCACCAGTCGTTAGATTCCCATGTCGTACCGTAAGACATTACTAAAAAACTTTAAAACTCAAAACTAAATTTATGTGCGTCTTGCTCATCCCCGACCACAAGAATTCCGAAAGAAACCTTGGAGGCAAACAATAAAAACTGAAACAAGCTTATCATTGTTGTTAATTAAAAAGAAAAAAAGAAGCAAAGGGAAGATTAATTAACCAAATTTGTATATTTCATGCTTATTCCGTAGCCCTGACAACAGAAAACAACTTGCTTGACAGCATTACATATTTAGTAAACACTAGCTAATTATCCTAAAGTGTATTTTCTCAAGAAAGGTCACTTAATCAAGACTGATGGCAAACATGTGCCAAAATAACGGTATGATATATATATATATATATATATATAGTATAATATATATACTATATATCACGTAATATATATATGTATATATATATTATAGTAGAGGAGAGAGAGAGAGAGATTAATGGGTATCCTTGTCATAAGGAGATGATTTCCTCCCTTGACCTATGTGTCACAAATCCTCACGCATCCATCATACAGTATGAGAGAGAACATGTGAGTTGTGTGGCGGATTTGTGCCTACGTTTATGGAGGATGGTGGGGATTGTGTCCACATAGGCGACAAGCGAGGGAAATCCGCCTCCTATGACAGGAACCATTACATCTCATATATATATATATATACTATATATATATATATATATATCACCTCATATAGCTAGCACAGAGAGAGAGCAGGAGACAATATCTCCCGAAACCTTTTCCATGGTCAATATCACCCTTAATTTTTTTTTAAATATTACATTGGTATTCTAATCTATTCTAATTATCCTATGTCCTTTAAATTGGTAATTAAATAATTTATCCTATTCATAATGGACTTAACATGTTATTAGATAAAAGATATAGTTTGATAAAATTTAAATCCTTTACTTATTTTAGTTCGTAGAAAAATCTAAAAAACATATGCTAGACAACACCTAAAAGTTTTTGAACTTTGTAAAAATATCCTTTAAGATTTTTAAATTATAAAAATAACCCTACAAATTTAAAATTTTATTAAAACATCTCAAAAATTATAAATTTTACTTATTTTAATTCAGTTAGAAATCTAAAAAACATATGTTATCTAGAAACTGAAAGTTTTTTGACTAAAGAGAAAGTATCTTGTATGTTTTGAAAATTATAAAAACATCCCTAAAAATTCAAAATTTGTAAAAAAACACCTTAAAAATTTTAAGCATATAAACACACTAAAAACCTAAAAATAACACAAATAACCCCAAAAAATTATGAAATTTATAATAAACATTCTGAACTTTTTACAAATTGTAAAATAAAACCCTCAAAATTATAAAATTTATAAAAATACTGATAATTTCCAACCTAGTAGTACATTAAAAATATACAAATTACAAATATCTCCTATATAATTTATAATTTATAGAAAACACTCTTAGAGTTTTAAAAATTATAAACAAACACTCAAAATTTAAATTTGATAAAAAACACCCTGAGAATTTAAAACTTATTAGTAAATTGAAAACATAGGAATTATAAATAGTCTATAAACAATTTATAATATGTAGAAAATACATATAAGTTTAAAAAATTATAAAAACCCCCTAGAATTCACAATTTATAAAAAAACACAATGAGAATTTCTAACCTATAGACACTAAAATGAATATACAAATTACTAACAACCCTTAGAAAATTAAAATTTTATAAAAATTATTATACTCTCTTTAAAAGTATAGGTTTAGAAAAAACTTTTTATGATCAATATTACATATAACTTTTTTGAAAAGAACATAACTAATTAAAAATCTATTAAATTTAAAATTTACAAAAAAAAAACACTTTTAAAGTTTAGTACATTACAAATTACCCCTCCAAAGTTTAAAAAATTTTAATGGTTTTTTATAATTTCTTGATATCAATGTAACGTTTAATAGTTTGGTGTATTTATAAATGACAAAATTTTAGCGTGTTTTTTATTTACAATTTTTAAAACTTTTGAGGGTGTTTCTTTTATAGTTTTTTAAATTTTTATTGTGTTTTCAGTGTAATGCGTAGATACGTCAATTAATGATGATATTGAAGAGTAAGTCGTTCTTAAGATGTATTAGGTTGTAGTCAAGTGTCCACATCACTATTCTTAGGCAATATAATTTATATATGAAAAAATGTTCAAACAATCTATATAGTGGTTAAAAGGATTTTGACTTTAATATACTATTTTTTATGAATTATACTTAATGTGAACTCACTATATAATTTTGACTATGATCATCATAATTTTAATACGTTTGATTAATTGACTATATAGGTATATAGACCATAAATTACTTTACTTTCTCACATGAACTAATATTTGATGCTTAATAATTTAAATTATTACTTTTAAATTTAATATAAAGAGGAGCTCTAATAACTTTTATTTATTTACCTATAAGATAATACAATCTCAATTCCTATTTTTTGCTTGAGATTTATTCTATAGTTATGCGTATCAAAGTAGTAACTAAAATAATAATTATTTATGCTTAAATTAGGATGATTATAGTTGGTCACTCACCATAAAATTTTCTTGAAGATGTATGTCTTACTTCCAATAGCTATCTGCACTATCCATATATATTTTATAAATTAGTTGTTAATTTGACATGTTAAATTGCTTTTCCCTTTTAGAAATTTCTTTTTTAATTTTTGAATTATATAATCACTATATCACCATTCTAGCATAGAAATGATCTTACTCTAAATGGCTTCAAGCCAATATTTGAGTTGAACTGAAGTGCATATTATTGATACTATGTGTATATATTTTTAAGAAAATCATGTCAACACCTTTTTAACAGAAGATATTATTCTAACCTCTGATATTATAAAAACTAAATGTAGCCAATTGAGTGATTAGCAAAAGAGAACTCACATCAGAATAGCGTGAATAATAAGATAAAGAGGAAAGATAATTATATTACCAATAGCACTAGCAATAGCAATCTACAATATAAAAGTTAACCTATTTTGTGGAGACAACTACTGGACATAAGCATTGAGGTTTCTATATATATATATTTTATAATTTATTAAAAATAATCACATAATCTTATATAATAAAATTTATTTAATATTGAATATTAATATAGTTGTGATAATATTGTTATTAGGAAAAAAATTCATAAACCAGTATGTTCTTTACGATATATAAGTTATGCACTCCAAATTCTTGTGTCTTTTATAAAGATAAAAATTATGAGTACGAGCCATTAACATTTTGCTCTCACAACAGCAAAATTCACTTAGTAGATGTAGATATTCCAGATGAGTTATATATCCTATATACAATACAATTGCCCTAGATAATGTAAATATAAATGAAACTATAACTAAAAGTTAATGTGAATATGAGTCAAACTGTTAGACCCTAATGCCACTAGGAAAGAACCCTAGAGAGAGGTGAATAAGGTCTTATGCTAATCTAATCTGATTTAATACCAATTAAAAACTTATTAACAAGTTATCCTAGAAAATAAGACATGTAACATTTATATGCAAGGATAAACAATATAAAAAAGGGTAAAATAAACAAACTACAAATGTGATAGGGCAATATACACAAAGAGTAATAGACAATAGCGATATAAGATAAACACAAAAGTAAATGTGTCAATGACAAACTCAAACACAAGCAAATGATCGCGAAGCTCGGACCTTCCGTCCTACGTCTCTGCTCCCCACTCTCGGGGAGAAATCCACTATCACACTGAGTTTTCGACGCTTACCCAAAAACGTTTACACCTCACACTCAGTTTTCTAGATCATCAAAAACTTTACAATCAATACTCTCGTAATCTCACTCTACACCCTCTAAGTGTTGGTCTTTAGCCGTGTCTTCCTCAAGTGCTCAGATTTACAACCTCTTCCTAGGCTTTATTATCGACATCACTCCTCTTGGGACGACCCCGTTTCTCACGACACACTCCTCTCGGTGTATAAGTGTATTACAAAGTGTATCACACAATTAGGCTTAATACAATAAATGTTTGTTCTCTACTATGGATGAAAACACAATGAAAGCTCACACTCTAAGTCACAAACCCACAACCCCAAATTATACTATGTATGCAAATACAATAAGCTCAATAGGTTGTGTCTAAGTCACAAACCCACAACCCCAAATTATACTATGTATGCAAATACAATAAGCTCAATAGGTTGTGTGTGAACAAACAACCCCAAATTATACTATGTATGCAAATACAATAAGCTCAATAGGTTGTGTGTGAACAAAGAGTATAATTAAAACAAACTAAACTCAATATAAATCTAGCTTAATAAAAATGATGATCAATAATAAATATCTATAAAGCTAGAAATTAAGTTTAGGAAAACTTCTCTAAATAACAAGATAGAGAGATGTGAAATTGAAGCCCAAAACACCAAAGGATGATCTTCTCCTCTTGTGAAACTTTCTTCACTTGAAAATCAAACTTTAAACACACTTAAAACAAACTAAAATATTTGTAAACTTATTTTGAAACTCTCATAAACATCCATGAGAAACAATAAAAGTTGAGAGCATTTTATAGCCTCTTAAACCATCCAAAAACCCCCAAAAACCCATAAAAACAAAAACTAGCCGTTATAGGCTGAAAAGACCAAAATCCCCCAAAATTCAGCATTCTAGAATTTTACGTATCTGGATTTCTAAAATCAATTACAAATAGTAAATCAACTCAAAAAATAATAAAATTTTGAGCAAAGTTTTTAGAAATGTATACAAACATGTTGGAGAAATAATTTCTAAAATATAACTTCCCAGTTGAGATAAATAATTGTTTGAACATAGATACTATAGATTCTAAAAACTGCTGAAATACCTAATTTTGTAAAATCAATTCAGCATAGTAAATTAACTCCAAAAATGATAAAATTTTGGAAAATGTTTGTAAACATGTAATAGAACATTTTAGAAAAAGAATTTCTCAAATTATATTTTATGAGATATAATTTATTTTATAAACCGTTCAAAACATGAAAATATATTTATATAAGTGTTGTTAAGTTTTCATGTTTATGTGGCTAAACACTTTATTTACCAAAATCAAAAATGATAAATATGAAATATGTATGTATGTATATAAATAAGTATATTTGTTTCATATTTATATAAACTTAAAAACTATAAAAC